ACACACACACACACACACACACACACACATAACTGCGGACTTGGGCACACCCCTCTTTGAACCAGATTTGGAGCTACAGATGTGGCTTTAACAAGGGAGGCTGCACATGATGGGGGACTGCATTGCATGGCGGTCAGGTCAGAGGGAGGTACAGGGTCGTGTTTGGGCTTGTGTCTAGTGACTTCAGGAAGGGTTCTAGGACATACGGGTCTTCTCTCCACCAGTGTCAGCCAGGAAGCAGGACCATTCTATGACAGAGTGATTCAGGGTCCTGCTGTGGATGGGGCAAGTACAAAGGGGTGGGTGTGGCCCCCACTTGTGAGCTGGGGGAGGTGTGTGTCTGAATGCTTGTATGGTTTTGCTAGAAGAGGGGCCTTATTTTTGTCTCTGTCTGCTACGGTCCCACAGCAGCCTTGTCTGATGTTGGTGCTCTTCGCCATCATTTCTATTTTTCCAGGGGCCTGGACAGCTCCCTCTCAGCTTCTTTGGCAAAGCTTTGTAAGTGTCCTGTCAGTTCAGTCTAGATTGTTCTCCTTAGGAGCTGGAAAGAGAAAGAGCGAATGAGATGCTCCCACAGGGAAGGGGGGATGGGTCAGGTGGACAATCATCTAACCCAGAGCCCCAGGCACCCACCCCCCACAGCTGCCCTCCACAGCTGCTTCTCATGGTGGACCCCTATGGTGGACCCCCCAGGTAGCAAATGGAGAGCAAGAATGTATTCAGAGTGGGTTCACTTGCCCCTGCTTGCTAGAGAGAGGGCTGTGTGAATCTGGTGTGCCATCACGTCTGGTCAGCTGGGCAGGCCCCTCCACCTCAGCACAGCCGGGGATGTTCTTCCCCAATGCTGATATCCCTGTCCCACTCCCTGTCATTTCCTGGCACCTGCTGGGAGGATGGCCCTGCATCAGGACAAATGTTAGGGGGTACATGCAAATCTGCGATGACTGGGGCAAAAGCAAGCTACCCTAATGTTGGTATATGAGGTAAACAAGTTAATTTAATGACCAGGAAGCCTCAGGCGAGGAAGGGAACCTAGAGAGGCAGCAGAGGAGACTGGGGGATCTTACCAGTGACCATGCTGAGCTATGGGACAAAGTCAAGGTTGTTCAGAAATCACGTGTGAGGAGGGCTCCAGTACCCCCACCCCAGCCCAGCAGGGGAGAGATGCTCCTCCCACTGCAACCAGAGCACCTCCCCTCTCTGTGTTCGCCAACACAGGGCTCTCTGCAGCAACAACCTCAGGTGAAGGTCCCTGGCTGGACAGCCTCCCCCCCCCCCCCCCCCCCCCCCCCCCCCCCCCCCCCCCCCCCCCCCCCCCCCCCCCCCC